AGGAGTATTGGAGTCACGGTATCTAGACTTCTAGGGTCTGGTATTAAAATCGTTTAACCCAGAGTAGGCTCAAGTAGAGTAGAGCAGAGCAGAGGAGGGAGCAGGAGGGTAGGGTAGGGATGGGGACCCTAAGGTAGGGTAGACTAGGTTTGGGTAGGGTAGAGTAGAGTAGAGTAGAGTAAAGAAGGTAGAGCGGAGCGGAGCAGAAAAGATTGCTTGTTCAGTATCGCAATGTAACTTTTTTCCAAAGACACAAAGATGAAAATGAATAGCCTAAGTATATCCAAAAAGTCCCCTGATGAGGTCTCCGTGCTCTTCGATCGGTGCTACGGTATCTATGCCACTTTATATCAAGTCCCCTGACGTAGCAGTATGGTGGCCTGGTGGGGAAAGTGATGACAGATACAAACGACATACGTCTCATATTCTGCTGTGATAACTCTCATCCCGTTTGCGGAAAAAGGCCTGCAGTACTAATGGATTTTTGTTTTTCAATAAACAAAACTAGCCATGTTTATGCTCATATTGTGCTTGCAGTTGGTCAACAACCCATATCCCTTTTTAAAGAATCATTAAAAACCACCCCGAATGAAGTGAAGCGCACACTAAAAGACGCGTGAATTACGCCCAGACCACTGAACCTATTGCTCGCACTGAGAGAGAAAGGAAATGTTAGTTTTAATGGCATTTCCTAGAGGAGAAAAGAGGCAGAAACAGCCATATACATCGTGAAAAGGCCATTTTAATAAATTTGATTCATTTTGCGACGGTAGCGTTGCCTGCGCTTTGGAAAATACCCGTGGACAGATCGTGTATTCCTAAACGACGTACAGTTTCGCAGCTGTGGAACCGTTTGCTACTGGGCACGAGCAAGTTTACCAAGGAAAAAAAGCGCGGGTTCTTTTCCCTCAATATTGTTTTGTTTTCGTTGGAGAATGTCACAGTTCTTTTGAGTGACTCAAACGTAGTATAAAGAACGTATTTTTCGACAGAATTATCAGTTACTTTGACTTGGAGAAAACGCGGTCGACAATGTGGTCCTTCTCATTCTCGGCCATGTTGTCATGTTGAACCATGTGACATTTGTGACATTTTCAAGGTGAGAAATGCGTTGTTTTGTCAAATTTACTAGCCAGTATATGTTTGCTTACACGCAGCGTAGATACATTAAACTGCTGCTTCCTGCTATATTGATTCTGTGCTTAGGATAACAGTTTTTACACCAGCTGAAGATGGGAGCATCGAGCGATGACCAAGATGAACTGCCGCTGAGTTTGTCAACGAAAAAACGTCGCTGCCTGAAAAGATCACGCTTATCTTCCGACTCTGATGATGATAAAAGAAAGACCAGATCATCGAGGAAACAACTGAACAACTCAAGCAAGGAAAGTGATGACAATGAAGGCTGTGGAAGTGAACAGTTGAACCCAACGCCCTCACAGACCCCTCGCAGCTCAGAACGGTTGCGAAGGAAATCTTTGCAATCATTCTCTTTGCCAAGCAGGGAAAAAGTACTAGACGCCATAACACCCAAAGGCAAAACCCTTTGTAGTCAGCAGAAAGTAAAGACGTTAAAAAGAAAACTGGTCAACAACTTTCTGAGAGAGTGAGTACAGTCTACGTGTTAAAAATGGTACATAATGTGGCTTGTGATTGAATATAAGCATAAACAAGTAGAAGTGTTGGTTTCTAAAGAAACTGTTGGGCTGCATTGGTAGGGAAGCGTGAAACAGTTAGCTATTTATCAACTTGAAGTTGTTGAAGGTAATCTGTGAATACCAGGCCTGCCCCACCCCCTTCCTAAGGGTTGGGTATTTTGTGCTAACAGGTCAGCCTGATTGATCTGATTTCAGGGAAATTTAATCAGGTGAAAGATTAACCCAACAAAAATGTGAATTTGACAATTCTAAAAATTATTCCACTGACAGTCATATCTGTGTGGTCACTCCATGATGTAGCAGAGACAGATCCAGGGGAGGGGTTGAGGGGTTGCACCTCCCCCCCCCTTCCCCCTTGAGCAGCATACAGTGTATTTTTGTTATTTCTTTGACTTTTCATAAAATGAATAGAATAAAATATTATTGTGTTGTACATAGTCATTTCACTTCAAGTTAGGAAAAGATAATGTACATTTCACAACTGAGTTATTATGTTTGGTTTCCTGGTTGAAAAATAAGTTAAACTCCAGATTTTATATCATGCCTTTACAAATACTTTTCAAGTGTCTGGAATGCTGGAAATGGCATTTTAGAAGGTGTAATCTGAAAAATTTTCGCAGAAGGCATGGCCCTAGACCCTCGTATAATCTCATGTTATTTAACTGTAATACCCCCCCCCCCTGCCCTCTCCTTTTCAGGAATTCCTGGATCAGCCTCTGTTTACAGCAATTTTGAAAGTGTTTTGTTGGTAACTTTTGAATGCAATTGGAAACAAAGGAAACCCTTCATGTGTGTTACAAGCATTTGGGTTGCTGACCTCGAGAAGAAAACAAAATTCCAAAAAATGTAAAAAATGTAAAAAAGGTGTTGAGCTGAAACTTACAAAAAAAAAAAAGAAAGATTTATACCGTCCAGTTTAGAATTGGTGGAAAATTTGGTGAATCGTTATCTGGAAAAGCTGATAAAATATTTGAAAAGCAAGATCTATAAGCTTTACTCTGATAGAAGGGTTAGGCTATGTATGATGTCCCTACATCCATTTGACCAAAGACACCCCTGAAGGTACATGTACCTGGCAACCTTACCACTGTAGTGAGTTAGTGAAGCTGATGTTTTGAGTATTACATGTACATGTAGCCCTTCATCACAGGAGGGCCATGAGCACTTTGGGCACTTTACCCTGACAAAGGGTTAATGCTAAAAATATCTACTTTGGTGCTTAATTTACCGTTATCATCTTCAAGGTGGTAAATAGCTAAGTATTATATGTGGAGGTACAGTGTACATGGTCTCCCTTAGTGCAGCAATTTAAGATTTTGGGAAGTTTGTATGTGTTGCAGTTAATTTTTACAATGGTAATTTGTGTAGCAGAATATAATATCTCCATTCAATGGCCAGAGTATTTTCTACCTGCTGTTCATTATAGAGCAACACATTAACTGTTGGCCAACCATGCCTTCCACAGCGATAAAGTTTCTTGACTTTTAGTATACTCTTATTTACACAACCCTTACCCTTTTGGGTACATGTAGATCACTATGGCAGTATGTATATTACATATATCCAATACAGCTGTAATGTACATGTACCTCCTTTATACCCTCCTCCCCTCCTCTCCCCACCCCTAGGAGGTCATTGGAATTTCAGAAGTGTTGAAGGGTTTTTGAAAGAAAGTACACATTCAGTTCTATGAATTTAAACTGGAGTTTCCATAGGGCTGTGGAACTGAAACCAAAAATTCTTCTTTGAAGGGGTTATGGATATTCTTTAGAACAACAGCAGTTAAAAGAAGGTGTGTTCTGTTTTTACATACAGGCGTTCTTCATATGTCAGCCGTGGAGAGGGTCGTTATGACTCAGATGATAGTGGAATGTCTGATTTCATAAACGATGATTCAGAGGAGGATGAAGAAGATGATACAGACTCCAGTGCGGAGATTAACCAGAGTTGTGACAGCAACAAGAAAGACTCGGGAGTATGCAGTGTAGAAGTCAATAAAAAGAGACACAAGGAAAGAGCAGTGCTTAGCTCAGAAGAAGAAAATCAAAAATCTCGTGGAAGTGACAATGATAATGTGCTTTTGTCAGAACTGGTGGATGAAAAAAGAGCAAGAAAGAAAGTGACTCCAACTGCTGCTGATCCAAATTACAGTGAGTCAGAGGAGGAGTTTACTCCAAAACTCAAAACAGCGAACAAAAGAAGGAAAATCATTGAGTGTAGTGACTCAGATGAAGAAAGTCAATCTGCAAAACAGGAAAGGAAACTGAAAGATGTTAATGATGAGAGGAAAAACTCTGACAGTGATGATGAACTGTCAAAGAATTCTCCAGCTAAATCTGCCTCTTTGAGGCCACGCTCAAGGCGTCTGCAACACCTTTCACAGAAACATGAAGACAAACATCGCAAAACATTTGACTCTTTATTAAAGAAAAGACAAACAGCAAAACTGGATCCAAAAGAGAGACATGCAAAGAAACAATTGTCAAGAGATAGTGATGAATCTGAAAGCAGTGATGCATCTAGGTTAGAGGAAGAGCTGGATCCTCTAAAAGAGGCTGATGCATGCTTTGAAATGCACAGCAGTGAACTTGAGGAAGATGATGATGATAGAGACTTCATAGTCAAAGATGGAGAGACTTCTGATGAAGGAATGAATTCTGATGGTGCATCACAGTTTCTTAAGCTTCTAGACACGTTTACAGGCAAGCAACAGGATGAAGAAGTTGCATGTAATGAAATGAAAGATGTTCCTTATGGCAGTGAGGACACTCATTTCAGAAGGCGAAGAAAAAGAAGGAAAAGGAAAAAGGAGAGGAAAGCATCAAAATGGAGGCGCATCAAGATGGAGGATGACAGTGACGATACTGATGCCAATGATACAGCAGTCAGCGACGTGTGTAATAGATATCCACCTCTTCATGCTGCTGTTCTTGAAAATGATGTGCCTTTGGTGAGTAAGCTGATAAAAAAAGATCCCGATTGCGTTTATGAAATTGGGTACAGAAAGAGAACGGCCTTACATTTGGCAGCATTAGAAGGCAAAGTGGAACTAGTGAAACTTCTTCTTTACCATGGTGCCGATCGAACTGCTGTGGATTGCTATCATCTTTCAGCCATTGCTTATGCTCTGGATGGACATCCAGAATGTGTTCAGCTGTTACTTGATCACACAAACATTAAGAATATTAATAAGAGTATGACAAACAATCTGCAAGAAATGAACTTGTTACACTTTGCTATTGGGGAAACAAGAGATGGCTTGAATTGCCATGACCGAGCAAGATGCCTGGAACTTCTGTTTAGTAGAGACAAGAAGACCTCTACAAAGCTTCTAAGACAAAGTGATGTTAGGAAATTTTTCCCTTTGGCTGCAGCTGTATTTGCCGGACAACATGAGGTGGGCAACTGACCTTTTGTTTTTTGTTCCAAGGACGTGTTGGTGGTTTGATAATTTTCAAGCTAACCTTATTTGTCATCTCTTTTGAATTATATTCATTAACATATACAACTTAATCTGAAGGAAAAATTATATGTAAGCCTGCATCAAGCCAAGTGCTCCTGATATCACAAGAGCTCATCCCAGTTTCTGTAGCATTACGTGACTACATGCAGGCTTGTTTCTAAACCCCCCTTCCCCCAGATGGAAAGCTAGTTCATTACTGTTTACAGGTTACTCTCAGCACTTATTCACACCAACTGAACGTTATGTAAAGCTTGGCATATTCATGTCAAATGAAACTTAGGAAATGAAAATCAGAAACATGTTAGTTAAATTTTGGGCCTTGTAGCTTTCAATTGTGTTGCTACATGTACATATATTTCAATCATACATTTCAGAGATAGCTAGGCAAAGCTTCATTTAAAGAATGTCCATCCCTAGGCGAAATGTATGGGTTGTTGACCAAGTGTGAGGTCAAGATGGCTGTATATTGGCCAAGTTCTTTTTTTTGCATGTTTATGGACCGAGACGGAGTCGAGGTCCATAGACTCGCAAGAAAAGAACGCGGGCAATATCAAGCCATCTTGACTGAACAAGCTTGGTTAATAAAGGATTTATTATACATGTATGGCTTTCTTGCGAGACATGGCGGATAGTCCCAAGCAGGCAAGATAACTCCATCTTGCCCGCTTGGGTAGCCAATCACAGCGCAGGATTTGATTCATCATGCTCGCTCACGGAGCTGGCCGTATAATAAGGTGATGTGTGGAAGACTTAAGTTAATACAGTACTTTGTAGCTTAGAGCACATGAAGTAGATACAGTGTACTCGTGTACTTGACGGTTTTGTTTTCTGAAGTTACTTTACATGTAGAATTGTATGCAGTAGTTTGTGAATAGCTGTTTTCCCTCAACAGTGTGTCCAAGTCTTGCTTAGGATGGGTGCAGATGCTACGGCTTGTAAGACAGATGATGGAGGAAATATCCTGCATTTTGCTGTAGAATGTGCATCTCATTTTAAAGGAACATGGCCAGCAACCAAGGACACTTCACAGTGCCTGAGAGAACTTCTAAAGAAAACAAAACTTCTGATTGACCAGCCTGATGACAATGGTATGGTTATGAAAACTATTACTTATACATGTTCATGGACATGTATGTTATTTTTATATGCATTTTGTGTGGACATTCCCAATTTCCCTGTAAATGTATTTGCCTATACCATATGATAAACAACATACANAGGAGTATTGGAGTCACGGTATCTAGACTTCTAGGGTCTGGTATTAAAATCGTTTAACCCAGAGTAGGCTCAAGTAGAGTAGAGCAGAGCAGAGGAGGGAGCAGGAGGGTAGGGTAGGGATGGGGACCCTAAGGTAGGGTAGACTAGGTTTGGGTAGGGTAGAGTAGAGTAGAGTAGAGTAAAGAAGGTAGAGCGGAGCGGAGCAGAAAAGATTGCTTGTTCAGTATCGCAATGTAACTTTTTTCCAAAGACACAAAGATGAAAATGAATAGCCTAAGTATATCCAAAAAGTCCCCTGATGAGGTCTCCGTGCTCTTCGATCGGTGCTACGGTATCTATGCCACTTTATATCAAGTCCCCTGACGTAGCAGTATGGTGGCCTGGTGGGGAAAGTGATGACAGATACAAACGACATACGTCTCATATTCTGCTGTGATAACTCTCATCCCGTTTGCGGAAAAAGGCCTGCAGTACTAATGGATTTTTGTTTTTCAATAAACAAAACTAGCCATGTTTATGCTCATATTGTGCTTGCAGTTGGTCAACAACCCATATCCCTTTTTAAAGAATCATTAAAAACCACCCCGAATGAAGTGAAGCGCACACTAAAAGACGCGTGAATTACGCCCAGACCACTGAACCTATTGCTCGCACTGAGAGAGAAAGGAAATGTTAGTTTTAATGGCATTTCCTAGAGGAGAAAAGAGGCAGAAACAGCCATATACATCGTGAAAAGGCCATTTTAATAAATTTGATTCATTTTGCGACGGTAGCGTTGCCTGCGCTTTGGAAAATACCCGTGGACAGATCGTGTATTCCTAAACGACGTACAGTTTCGCAGCTGTGGAACCGTTTGCTACTGGGCACGAGCAAGTTTACCAAGGAAAAAAAGCGCGGGTTCTTTTCCCTCAATATTGTTTTGTTTTCGTTGGAGAATGTCACAGTTCTTTTGAGTGACTCAAACGTAGTATAAAGAACGTATTTTTCGACAGAATTATCAGTTACTTTGACTTGGAGAAAACGCGGTCGACAATGTGGTCCTTCTCATTCTCGGCCATGTTGTCATGTTGAACCATGTGACATTTGTGACATTTTCAAGGTGAGAAATGCGTTGTTTTGTCAAATTTACTAGCCAGTATATGTTTGCTTACACGCAGCGTAGATACATTAAACTGCTGCTTCCTGCTATATTGATTCTGTGCTTAGGATAACAGTTTTTACACCAGCTGAAGATGGGAGCATCGAGCGATGACCAAGATGAACTGCCGCTGAGTTTGTCAACGAAAAAACGTCGCTGCCTGAAAAGATCACGCTTATCTTCCGACTCTGATGATGATAAAAGAAAGACCAGATCATCGAGGAAACAACTGAACAACTCAAGCAAGGAAAGTGATGACAATGAAGGCTGTGGAAGTGAACAGTTGAACCCAACGCCCTCACAGACCCCTCGCAGCTCAGAACGGTTGCGAAGGAAATCTTTGCAATCATTCTCTTTGCCAAGCAGGGAAAAAGTACTAGACGCCATAACACCCAAAGGCAAAACCCTTTGTAGTCAGCAGAAAGTAAAGACGTTAAAAAGAAAACTGGTCAACAACTTTCTGAGAGAGTGAGTACAGTCTACGTGTTAAAAATGGTACATAATGTGGCTTGTGATTGAATATAAGCATAAACAAGTAGAAGTGTTGGTTTCTAAAGAAACTGTTGGGCTGCATTGGTAGGGAAGCGTGAAACAGTTAGCTATTTATCAACTTGAAGTTGTTGAAGGTAATCTGTGAATACCAGGCCTGCCCCACCCCCTTCCTAAGGGTTGGGTATTTTGTGCTAACAGGTCAGCCTGATTGATCTGATTTCAGGGAAATTTAATCAGGTGAAAGATTAACCCAACAAAAATGTGAATTTGACAATTCTAAAAATTATTCCACTGACAGTCATATCTGTGTGGTCACTCCATGATGTAGCAGAGACAGATCCAGGGGAGGGGTTGAGGGGTTGCACCTCCCCCCCCCTTCCCCCTTGAGCAGCATACAGTGTATTTTTGTTATTTCTTTGACTTTTCATAAAATGAATAGAATAAAATATTATTGTGTTGTACATAGTCATTTCACTTCAAGTTAGGAAAAGATAATGTACATTTCACAACTGAGTTATTATGTTTGGTTTCCTGGTTGAAAAATAAGTTAAACTCCAGATTTTATATCATGCCTTTACAAATACTTTTCAAGTGTCTGGAATGCTGGAAATGGCATTTTAGAAGGTGTAATCTGAAAAATTTTCGCAGAAGGCATGGCCCTAGACCCTCGTATAATCTCATGTTATTTAACTGTAATACCCCCCCCCCCTGCCCTCTCCTTTTCAGGAATTCCTGGATCAGCCTCTGTTTACAGCAATTTTGAAAGTGTTTTGTTGGTAACTTTTGAATGCAATTGGAAACAAAGGAAACCCTTCATGTGTGTTACAAGCATTTGGGTTGCTGACCTCGAGAAGAAAACAAAATTCCAAAAAATGTAAAAAATGTAAAAAAGGTGTTGAGCTGAAACTTACAAAAAAAAAAAAGAAAGATTTATACCGTCCAGTTTAGAATTGGTGGAAAATTTGGTGAATCGTTATCTGGAAAAGCTGATAAAATATTTGAAAAGCAAGATCTATAAGCTTTACTCTGATAGAAGGGTTAGGCTATGTATGATGTCCCTACATCCATTTGACCAAAGACACCCCTGAAGGTACATGTACCTGGCAACCTTACCACTGTAGTGAGTTAGTGAAGCTGATGTTTTGAGTATTACATGTACATGTAGCCCTTCATCACAGGAGGGCCATGAGCACTTTGGGCACTTTACCCTGACAAAGGGTTAATGCTAAAAATATCTACTTTGGTGCTTAATTTACCGTTATCATCTTCAAGGTGGTAAATAGCTAAGTATTATATGTGGAGGTACAGTGTACATGGTCTCCCTTAGTGCAGCAATTTAAGATTTTGGGAAGTTTGTATGTGTTGCAGTTAATTTTTACAATGGTAATTTGTGTAGCAGAATATAATATCTCCATTCAATGGCCAGAGTATTTTCTACCTGCTGTTCATTATAGAGCAACACATTAACTGTTGGCCAACCATGCCTTCCACAGCGATAAAGTTTCTTGACTTTTAGTATACTCTTATTTACACAACCCTTACCCTTTTGGGTACATGTAGATCACTATGGCAGTATGTATATTACATATATCCAATACAGCTGTAATGTACATGTACCTCCTTTATACCCTCCTCCCCTCCTCTCCCCACCCCTAGGAGGTCATTGGAATTTCAGAAGTGTTGAAGGGTTTTTGAAAGAAAGTACACATTCAGTTCTATGAATTTAAACTGGAGTTTCCATAGGGCTGTGGAACTGAAACCAAAAATTCTTCTTTGAAGGGGTTATGGATATTCTTTAGAACAACAGCAGTTAAAAGAAGGTGTGTTCTGTTTTTACATACAGGCGTTCTTCATATGTCAGCCGTGGAGAGGGTCGTTATGACTCAGATGATAGTGGAATGTCTGATTTCATAAACGATGATTCAGAGGAGGATGAAGAAGATGATACAGACTCCAGTGCGGAGATTAACCAGAGTTGTGACAGCAACAAGAAAGACTCGGGAGTATGCAGTGTAGAAGTCAATAAAAAGAGACACAAGGAAAGAGCAGTGCTTAGCTCAGAAGAAGAAAATCAAAAATCTCGTGGAAGTGACAATGATAATGTGCTTTTGTCAGAACTGGTGGATGAAAAAAGAGCAAGAAAGAAAGTGACTCCAACTGCTGCTGATCCAAATTACAGTGAGTCAGAGGAGGAGTTTACTCCAAAACTCAAAACAGCGAACAAAAGAAGGAAAATCATTGAGTGTAGTGACTCAGATGAAGAAAGTCAATCTGCAAAACAGGAAAGGAAACTGAAAGATGTTAATGATGAGAGGAAAAACTCTGACAGTGATGATGAACTGTCAAAGAATTCTCCAGCTAAATCTGCCTCTTTGAGGCCACGCTCAAGGCGTCTGCAACACCTTTCACAGAAACATGAAGACAAACATCGCAAAACATTTGACTCTTTATTAAAGAAAAGACAAACAGCAAAACTGGATCCAAAAGAGAGACATGCAAAGAAACAATTGTCAAGAGATAGTGATGAATCTGAAAGCAGTGATGCATCTAGGTTAGAGGAAGAGCTGGATCCTCTAAAAGAGGCTGATGCATGCTTTGAAATGCACAGCAGTGAACTTGAGGAAGATGATGATGATAGAGACTTCATAGTCAAAGATGGAGAGACTTCTGATGAAGGAATGAATTCTGATGGTGCATCACAGTTTCTTAAGCTTCTAGACACGTTTACAGGCAAGCAACAGGATGAAGAAGTTGCATGTAATGAAATGAAAGATGTTCCTTATGGCAGTGAGGACACTCATTTCAGAAGGCGAAGAAAAAGAAGGAAAAGGAAAAAGGAGAGGAAAGCATCAAAATGGAGGCGCATCAAGATGGAGGATGACAGTGACGATACTGATGCCAATGATACAGCAGTCAGCGACGTGTGTAATAGATATCCACCTCTTCATGCTGCTGTTCTTGAAAATGATGTGCCTTTGGTGAGTAAGCTGATAAAAAAAGATCCCGATTGCGTTTATGAAATTGGGTACAGAAAGAGAACGGCCTTACATTTGGCAGCATTAGAAGGCAAAGTGGAACTAGTGAAACTTCTTCTTTACCATGGTGCCGATCGAACTGCTGTGGATTGCTATCATCTTTCAGCCATTGCTTATGCTCTGGATGGACATCCAGAATGTGTTCAGCTGTTACTTGATCACACAAACATTAAGAATATTAATAAGAGTATGACAAACAATCTGCAAGAAATGAACTTGTTACACTTTGCTATTGGGGAAACAAGAGATGGCTTGAATTGCCATGACCGAGCAAGATGCCTGGAACTTCTGTTTAGTAGAGACAAGAAGACCTCTACAAAGCTTCTAAGACAAAGTGATGTTAGGAAATTTTTCCCTTTGGCTGCAGCTGTATTTGCCGGACAACATGAGGTGGGCAACTGACCTTTTGTTTTTTGTTCCAAGGACGTGTTGGTGGTTTGATAATTTTCAAGCTAACCTTATTTGTCATCTCTTTTGAATTATATTCATTAACATATACAACTTAATCTGAAGGAAAAATTATATGTAAGCCTGCATCAAGCCAAGTGCTCCTGATATCACAAGAGCTCATCCCAGTTTCTGTAGCATTACGTGACTACATGCAGGCTTGTTTCTAAACCCCCCTTCCCCCAGATGGAAAGCTAGTTCATTACTGTTTACAGGTTACTCTCAGCACTTATTCACACCAACTGAACGTTATGTAAAGCTTGGCATATTCATGTCAAATGAAACTTAGGAAATGAAAATCAGAAACATGTTAGTTAAATTTTGGGCCTTGTAGCTTTCAATTGTGTTGCTACATGTACATATATTTCAATCATACATTTCAGAGATAGCTAGGCAAAGCTTCATTTAAAGAATGTCCATCCCTAGGCGAAATGTATGGGTTGTTGACCAAGTGTGAGGTCAAGATGGCTGTATATTGGCCAAGTTCTTTTTTTTGCATGTTTATGGACCGAGACGGAGTCGAGGTCCATAGACTCGCAAGAAAAGAACGCGGGCAATATCAAGCCATCTTGACTGAACAAGCTTGGTTAATAAAGGATTTATTATACATGTATGGCTTTCTTGCGAGACATGGCGGATAGTCCCAAGCAGGCAAGATAACTCCATCTTGCCCGCTTGGGTAGCCAATCACAGCGCAGGATTTGATTCATCATGCTCGCTCACGGAGCTGGCCGTATAATAAGGTGATGTGTGGAAGACTTAAGTTAATACAGTACTTTGTAGCTTAGAGCACATGAAGTAGATACAGTGTACTCGTGTACTTGACGGTTTTGTTTTCTGAAGTTACTTTACATGTAGAATTGTATGCAGTAGTTTGTGAATAGCTGTTTTCCCTCAACAGTGTGTCCAAGTCTTGCTTAGGATGGGTGCAGATGCTACGGCTTGTAAGACAGATGATGGAGGAAATATCCTGCATTTTGCTGTAGAATGTGCATCTCATTTTAAAGGAACATGGCCAGCAACCAAGGACACTTCACAGTGCCTGAGAGAACTTCTAAAGAAAACAAAACTTCTGATTGACCAGCCTGATGACAATGGTATGGTTATGAAAACTATTACTTATACATGTTCATGGACATGTATGTTATTTTTATATGCATTTTGTGTGGACATTCCCAATTTCCCTGTAAATGTATTTGCCTATACCATATGATAAACAACATACACTTACTCAGCCATTGTTTTTATATTCCATAAAAAAGATACAAAGAAGTCACAATTATTAGTACATGCAAAAATTAGAGTAAAATGGCAAAGAAACCTAATAAAAACCATGGGGCTTGTAAACTTAGGTTCCCTCTCAAGAAATATAAGATGACAAAAAACGATACATTATTATAGTAATTGACATATTGACAAGCCATATTTGTATGAACAGCTCAACTTATATTCGGCAAGTACATGTATATATGCATAAATGAAGTAGTAGGAGGTTAGTGGAATGCATGGTCACACCCAGCATGTACACTAGAGTTTTCTTTGTCTGATTTATTTGCCAGGTTTCACTCCACTAATGTATGCCTGTGAGAGTGGGGATGCCAAAAGTGTCAAGCTGTTGCTGGAAAATGGTGCTTCACTCAAATGTGTGGTCAGTGGTAATTTGTATTATTTTTTTTTTAATTCTCAAAACCATGATCAGAAATAAATTATCAATTATTAATTGATTTGCCCTTTGTCAATAACTGCACATGTGTATGTAACTAAATAAAATTGCTGTTTCCCCATGAAACATTGGATACATGTGTGATCAATGATCGGTGTACCTGGGAACATATGTGTACTTGACACTTAACAAATAGAAACATTTGGCATGTGTCTGTATGTATGTCTGTATGTACAGTATGTACGTGTATATGTATTTAAAAACAGAAGTGACAGTTTGGGAGAATGTAAAAATTAATGATCAGAAAACATCAGGCTGTGGCAAGTATTTCACAGCTTTTTTAAGTTCTTTTAATGTTCATGAGTGTTGCTGTACATAACCTGATAGAGATACAGAAAATTAGTTTATTTCATATCTTTAAGAAATAAACGATTATTCCAATAGACCATTTTACACTTGCGAGACTGTTCAGTGACCTGGCCTTTGAATGACTGCGAGACTGGAGGTGACTTTGTTTTGATAAAGACCTTACTGTTTTTGTTGTGTAAATCAAGTTGTTCGTGTGCTAACTAGTTTGCATTTACATGAGAAAAGCAGATAGGTCTGTATCAAAGCAAGGTCACCTCCAGCCTCGGTTGCATTCATAGGCCAGGTAACTAAGCACACAACTGTAAAATGGCCTATTGTCAAAATGATTGATCTCTTTGTTTGTGTGTTTGATACATGTACATGTCAGTGTATTCTTGTAATAGCAATATTGCGTGGACGATATTACGATAATAATTATTATTGCAATATCATCTACAATCCACTACAAATAGTTGTGTTTGTTTTCCATTAGGACAGTCATGGTACCTCAAGCCTTCATCTAGCTGCAATGTCAGGGGACACTGAGTGTGTCCAGTTACTGCTCAACTTTGGACACCAGGTTGATTGTGTTGACAAATGTGGTTGGCCACCACTACTTTATGCCAACTTCAAGGCTCACGAGAGCTGCGTGCTAGCGCTTATGAAGCCCAAACCAGAGCAGGTGTTTGTGTTGGGAACATTGTTAAGAAAAGCAAGGAATGAGTTGGACAAAAAAAGAACGGTCAAGGTACATGTACACTGTATATTGTATGTTGCTGCAGGGTGTATAGTTAAGCACTGGTTACCAGCTTATTTCACCAGCTGATAGAGATCTTACATTATCGTGGGCTGAAAAATTCACAAGAAAACAGACTTGAGTTAATTTGGAAGATTACAGGCCAGAAAAGTGAACTGAGCTTGTGAATGAACCTGTTAAGTTTTTCCTTACATTGTAGCCCATTTGTTGACAATATACATGTAGTTTTCAATAGCTAACTTTTTTCCACTAGTAAATTATAAAACAGGAACATNGCTTGTGAATGAACCTGTTAAGTTTTTCCTTACATTGTAGCCCATTTGTTGACAATATACATGTAGTTTTCAATAGCTAACTTTTTTCCACTAGTAAATTATAAAACAGGAACATGTTTATCATTACTGTTGAGTAAACATTTTTGTTTTTGTTATTACTGTTTTGACAACTTTCTACTACAAGTCATGTACATATAAATGTAGGTTCCATTTGATTTATCTAGCAAGGATTTCAAAATTAATACATGCATGGGAGGGGGCAAGGGTGTGTATGACATCAATGACTGGTGGGAAATTTACATGTGACAATTTTCCACACCAACTTGTGTGATCAAATCATGTACATGAAAGCCAATGGCAGAAAGAGAATTCTTTGACAGACTGTAAACAGTAATCAGCATTATGTCACACACTCATCATGAACTGTAATCAGAGACACAATTCTTGTCTCAGTAGAAATGAGACGGGAGGCCGGCGTAGCTTACTTTTGAGTGGTATCATATGTGTCGATGTCTCCATATTGAGGCTTGTCAGGTTAAAAAACTTGTAAATAATTAATTTTTCAATCATGTTGTCTTAAGGTTGTCAAGAATGTGCTTGTTTCTCTGGCAAACCATGATGCCTACTACACAGTCTTCAATGACTTCATTCGGCAAAATCCTGAAATGCTGGATGAGAACAACTATGGTCTTCTACAGCACATCTGGAGGGCCATCCTGGATTTTGATAATAAGAGAAGGTGGTTCGTCAAGAAGCTGTCACAGATAAGGTTTGTCTAGGATCCTTCTTAAAGTTGATCTCACTGCAGTGAAGATGGCCTACTCAGGGCTGTCTCTTATATTTAAAGTGTTTAAAGAAGTGAAAAAAGTTGTTGTGAATAGGGTCTCATCACTATCTAAGGAACATTAACATTGTATTCATACAAACATTAATAACAAGCCAAACTGAAAGACTGGTTGCTTTAAGGACAACCCAGCACTGTTGGTTGTAATGACATTTTTCTTACAAACGTACAATCTTCCGTCACAACCCTGCAGTGTACCACGACATACCAGAATTTAGAAATTAGCCAAATCGGTACCTTTAGACATGATTTTGTAGCAGTTTTTTTTTATTATAGTTTTATCTGTGAAGGCTCCACCCACAGGTCTCACCTCTTACCCTTTTGTATACCATTTAGACAGAAAAGGTAACCCTTTCACATACCTACTCAAGAACACTGCACTTACTTTTCTAAACCCTTGGAATGAAGTTAATGAACACTAATTATTAGGGGAAAACATCAAACATTACTAGGTACAGTCACAAGGTATGTCTGTGCAAAATATGTTCATTAAAGGCCCTTTTAAATACCTAAATGTCAGATTTCCCTGCTCTTTCATATACCTCAACTTGTGAAATCCCTTTTTTAGATACCAGAAGCTTGACAAAGGTACCCCTCTCACGAAGAGCCTCCCCATATAGGCCATCATAGGGAGTACCCC